CACCCAACTAACTGTGCCAAGAAAGTGTTATTACCCATAAGGCAGCCAAATTTTAAAAATCTCCATGTTCCGTGACCCCTGACTTTGAATGTATAACTTAAGTCACTTCATGATTGAAATCGTGCAAATCATGATTAGTTTCTGATGACTCGATAAACTCTAGTAATTTTTCTTGTTTATGATTACTGAAGAAGAATTAAAACGTTAGAGAAATGAAGGGTGAATATGAAACGAACTAGTTTTTCTTTATTATCTTGTAGAATATTAACAACTATTCAAAACCATCATATAAAGAACTGATTTTAGAATTTTAAAGCAATTGGTCCCTTTGATAAATTTAGATAGCGTAATCAAAAGATGTAAATTATCAGAAAGATGTGATATATTAGTGCAACAAATTTAGAATCGTACCGTTGGACGCGAGCTAGTGTTTTCAATGAACAGTGGCTTTACATGAGACCCGAAAATCCTGACTTCGATCTCTGGAGAGACTGTAGATGTATAGTGCTCAGAAGTCCCACAAATAAACGAGACAGTTGTCTAATGAATCTTGATTTTCTACAGTATTCCGATGGAATTTGTTCAAACCCTCTTAGTAATAGCGTTTTGGTTCTGACAATATGTGTACTCATAAGTTATTAAGGCGTATAAATCCCTTGAAACAATATCCAACATCCCACATGCTCAGTAGTACAGGAGAGTTTCATTACCTGCACTCTGGGTTTAGTTGACATTCATCGTCAATTAGTGAAGTGATTCGTTATTAGATGCTGAAGAATCCTTGGTTAACTTATTTTAGATTTCACGTCGAGGTATCCAGTCTGACCTTGAGGTCAACTTACATTTTGATCGAGAAACATGATATAAATATATTTAATTGGATTCTTCAGTAATTTTCGGGACTACTTTTTCATACATTAAGTACTAATCTTAGTCAAACAATAAGAACCGGGATGCATTAGACAGATGTTTCATCCTAGTATAAGACTCCACATTGTCAGTGAGCATAACACAACTCCCAGCAGGGATCAAACGCAGACCTCTCTATACTATTGCATCTATTTAAAATGACAGCTAGATGTTTCACCTTCTAATGTTAAATAAATGCTGTTAGCTTACAGTAATTTAAGTGACAGAATATTTAGTGGTATATCACCAGTAAATTTGGTTTGACTCAAGTCAAATACTTTATTGGTTTTTGCGGCCTTCGTTGTGAGTCTGAGGACATAATTATCACCCTACTAATGATATATGACAAACCAAGAAGAATTGCACTGTCTTAATGTTACGGGAAAATGAGGTATTTTAGAGTCATCTGAAACATCATATTTTGACAAGTGTTGGTATCTACATAAATCTATATACCTAGGAGACTGAAAAACAAATAAGCTTTCTGAATCTGATAAGCCTAATGACAAGTGTCAATTATCCTCCATTTTTAAACATGCATATTAGAAATGGGTCATGATCTGAACTATTTATCCGAAAATTCAAGAATCCTCTGCGTATTTTGGGGAAAATGTGTACCTACCATGGTCACTTTGATCTTCTCCGTAATGATCTTGTTGCTTTTAAATTCGAATTCGTCTAGTCAAATCAAGTGATTGTTTTATAACTAAAACTATGTTTTCTTTCTATTAAAGTCAGTTTGTGATGAAAATTCTTGCCAAAACAATAAACTACTCAGCTACCATTGATTTCTGCAAGTAAATTTGAAAACAGGCTTTTTGAAGAGGAAAAATCAAATCAGAATAGATGCTATTCTTACATTAATTTAACTACTTAGAAGATGACGGAAGGAATGTTAAAAAATACACCTTGTTCAACTGAACACAGTAGTGCATGTTATCTTCAGTCTTCATTAAACGATCTAAAATAAAAAACACTAGCTGACATATTTTTGACTTACTTTCATCATAATTATCAGTCAGATGTTAAAGTTAGGAATTTTGGAGTAACATGTATTAAGCACACAGTCTGATAGTATAATCCTTAGCTAACGGGATTAATGAGTAAATGGATAGCTTGATAGCAGTTAGTTTTACTCCATACTCATCAAATTCTAGGCCTAAATATATCTATCGATAAAGTGACTTTGACTATGTTGGAAATCTTAGATTGCCAATGAAGAACCTCCATAATTAATATAACATATTAAAAATGGTTTAAAATATCCCGTTTTTAACATCCAGGACTGAATTATGATTAGCCTGTGTTGGCTTTTCTGTACACCCTATGACGGTTGTCCCAATATATCCCTAACTAATAAAAATCTGAACACCATGCCAGCAGAATACGTTGGTATCTTTTTGAAGTTAGTAGCTCAGTAGATAACATGTTAGGCATTTGAAGTGAAATTCACTGGGTTTAAGTGTTAATGTAAATACGTTGAGAACCACGTGCATCCAATCGACGAATCTCAAGTAGAACATAACGCCTGTCTTGAACTCGACTTTTAAACACAATCCATTTATTTTAAAAATCTTATGATTAATAATTTAACTGTTAATCAGTTCAGTGTTATTTACATGTGTCCTACAATTGAATATGAATAAATGTTGCAATATCTATCATATGAGTTATTAGAAGTTGTTTCCGTAGCTCCAAACTCACTGACCTATGAATACTGAACGTAAAATACAATAGACATATTAGAATACTTTTGCTCTGCCACCATTGTCCATAATCATGCAAAACAATCGAAGTCATAACCCCAAGGTTAAACACTTTGATAAAAAATAATAATAATAATAATAATCTCCAGACGAAACTGTCAACTTTAATCAGTTAAAATAGATGAATCAGGATTGTTAAAATTTTGTTTACCATAAAGATCAATATAGGTTGAAATAAATTATATTACAATGAGGATTTTTGACTGAAAATTTAATAAGTGTCATAAAGTATGAAGTTTTGAGAAAATTAGGTAGAAATTTAGGTTATGAACTAGCTGAACTCAAATACTTCAAATTATACTCTCCTTGTGTGCGCTTCTAAAATGACATATGTATTTCTCTATCTCTTATCGAAATATTTTACTCATTTAATTTTTCAAAAAGGAGTACTCTTTTTTATTTTTAGGAGGTAATAAGTGAAACATATCGGATAGTTGCTGATAACATTCGAGGTCCAACATGCAGGATTCACCCACTAAATGAATGAAAAAAGTAACAGAAATGACCAAATAAAACATACGAATTGGACATTGAGAGCGTTGCAATTACCTTCAAATGACTTTTACCCCCCAAAAAATATTTTATATTACAAATAAATAATATATTTGTAATGTCCCAATGAGTAAAAAAATTAGATTTTTTAGAAGAGATAACAAGATCATCACATCAGAAGAGGATAAACAAAAAGTACAAAAGAAAGTAATTAGCATCTTACAATTTAATAATTTTCCTATGAACATTATTAGGAGCATATCAAAACTAAACGTCTCATTGCGTAATAATAATGATAATGAAATGCCAAGGATCGGTACTGCAGTTTTATCATGCCATCATGGCACAACAAAAGAACTCCGAAGAATCTTAAAACAACACAGAATTAAAATATATTACAAAACAACGAACACACTTCAAAATATTTTAGTTTGCTTAAAAACAGAAAAAAATCCCATTCATGTCAACAAAGAACTGCATCTACAAATTAGGTTGTGTCGATTGTGATGCCTTCTATATTGGAGAGTTATCTAGCGAAATCTTGACTCGTGCCAAAGAACATATATAGGTATGCAAAGGAGCCACCTAATAATCCTGTAAAACTGGATAGACTTCAAATTAAATCGGCAATAGCAGTTCATGCCATTTTCAACGACCACCAAATCGACGTTAAAAATATCAAAATATTACAAAAAAGATTTTACAATTACAAAGAATGGAGAGTAGGTGAAGCGATCCATATAATACTTAGTCCTACTGTTCTCAATAGAAAAGAAGGCTTTACCATACATCCTAATTAGACTAACTATCCTAGCCACCTATCCTTTCTCATCATAAAGGTCACACATTTTTCATCCTCAACAGTGCATACATTTATACACACAAATTTACATACATGTCGCTTACGAAACACCTTGACTAAAATGACATGACACTGATTCATTCAGACCTGTTTTTTTATTGATCGCACATAATATTTTTGTTGTTCTGTCTGTACTATTTAAAATTGGTTATTTACTCTCTGAAGAAGTAGCTTACAGCAAATCACGAAACACCAGAAAATCTAAATTTTTCTACTCATTGAGATATTAGAAATATATAATTTTTACTTATAACAATCTACACAATTTGTTTGAAATGATCAAATCCAACCCTAATAATAATACCTATTATTATTACTATTATTGTTATTAATGGCTTTATTCAATATTATATTTTGGTACAATATAGAATTCTCAGTACAGGGTATGTCAACAAGTTACTTAGGCAAAAAGAATAGTAATAAGTATAAAAAAAGGGAAAAAAGGTTTAAAAGAAAGTCCGAAAAACCGTACAACTTTTCAAATTAGAGACATGTTAAGAATACAGGTTATTGACTAGGTTCACTCTAACAACCTGTTCGTCACAGAGTATATTTGCTAGGTAAGGTATTATAGAACTTTTATATTTTTGTTTGAGTGCATGGATTTTAATGTAATTACGTCTCTTTCTACCAGAAGATATACAAGGAGAAAGATATGACTGAAGGGGATGGTTAGTATCTAATAAAATAACACCTACCAGGAGTTTGCATGATTTTAGATGTCTATCCACAACCATATTAATTATGACCTCAAAAAATCCACCACACATCTTGCTAACTGCCTTCAGCACTCTTTGCAATACAGCAAAGTCTTTTCTCAAAAGCCCGGGAAAGAATAATGGAGGATAGTAAAGAATAATAGGTGATATGCAAGAATTGACAAATTGTAAGAGTAAATGACGAATAATCCCAAGAGCATACAATCTCTTACATATTACAATAAAATATAAAATTTCCAAAAATACACTTACTTCCCATTTTTTTAACTTGACCATTTTCATGATTTTTCTGTTCTATTTTATTTGAGATTTCAGACATTATTAATTATAGACAATATTATATCTGGATACAAAATTGTATTTTATTAAAATAGTTCAATTCTTAGTAATATATATGTATATGTATATACATAGAGAGTGTGTGTGTGTGTGTGTGTGTGTGATTGCATCATAAAAATATAAATATATATTACAAATATTCCTGTGATTTACACATTTTATCAAATGACTCAAATGGATAATTGACTTGTTCAATGAGAGAAAAAAAACAACTTTATTTTTCAGAAAATTATTGTGAGTAGATTTCATCTCATAGAGTTATATTCATTAAAACATTAGAGATTTGTATTCAATCATCATTTATGATTAATTAGAACTACATTAACATGATGTACAATTTAGTTGATAAGTGGATATATATAACAAAATGAATGGATTGAAAATCAAAAAAAAAAATAAATCAATGATTGCACTTCTACTAGACCTACAAATATTATACTTCACTGATTGGTTAAGATTATAGACCAATCAAATTTAAGATGTTCGTATATATATATATATATATTGATAATGTTAGGCAAGGTGCGTGCATATATATGAGTAAACAATTTGCGATAATTAGTAGTCCATGAATGGCATTATAAACTCATTTCATACTTGGAATAGATTCATTTACCCAACAACAACAACAACAACAAAAAAAAAAAGACTAAATTATGATTTTTTTTTTAAACTGGAAAATGAATATGATGTTTACTTATCCTTCTTTTATTTCCTTTCATTTCGAAATAATTTATTGAATTCTGTTCTTGAGAGTATTCATTAAATAATTATGGGATTATGTGAGATAGGGAAAGAAAACATTATTAACCATATGTTACTTTTTTTCCATTTTGTATTGATTAATCTAAACTTATAACTAAATATATTAGAGAATCCCGAAAAAGTTATATTTTATTCTTTTATAAGTTAGTCAGGTCATTATATGCATTACTAAGTAAAATCTATTTATTTTTTTTTACTTGTTAAAAGTAATATACTATCTTATTTCATAATCATGTCAATATAGGGTCGTTACATAATTGATGTATACAAATATATAAAACCTTGCTAACACCTGGTTAGATTACTTTATTCCCAAAAATAAAATGAGAATAGGAATGTATAGTTGAATTGAAAGCATGGTGTATACGTGTTGCACCTTAGTATAATTAATCTAGAAAGTAATTGTAGGGGGATTTTTTTAGGAATAATTGGTTTGTTCTTACAAAAAAGTAATACACCTTATGTGATTTTGTAACAACAAGGCTATACTAGGAGTTTACATTGAATAGACAGTATCCTAGCAAACTTACTTACTTACTTATGCCTGTTAACCCTTGTGAGGGAGCATAAACCAACCACCAGCATTCTCCATCCTAGAAAATTGAACTAAAAAGCTAAACTCTTCCAATGGTTTACCAGTGGGAGTAATGCACGCTGGAGCTTCCAACTAATTACACCCCCCCAAGAGATTAATAACTCAGATTACTATTAAATGAATTATTACATTGACAAACCAAGTAGTTATTACAAGAATGGTGAGATCGGATCGAAAAGAATAGAAAATCTAATGAAAGACACGTACAATGATCTATCAATTCTCGACCAAAATCTTAAAAATCTTATCGAGATTAAGTATTACCTCATTGGTGAAAATAATTTCATGAAAGGTAATAATTCACTGGGTGTTCTAAAAAATCTGAGATGACATCAACTATTCATTAATTGGAAATGCCTACTTATGGTAATTCCTATCTAAGTAGTATGGAATTCTGGAATCACTAGAATAACAGGATTGTTTTCATCAATTATAAAAGTGCGATTAGTTGTTAGAAATGTTTAGGGATAAACTATCTCTATATGAAAGTAAGTTTCATACTAGATAAGGACTCAATAGTGTCGTGACTTTATGAGCCGCTTGTTATCACGTAATCTATTTGCCAATCAAAATACGACTTGTTCGCCTTTATACTGTACTAAACCGACGACGTTCGATCGGTATGATCAGCTTAGCGTCCTATTGGTCCGTTGCTCTCCTAGCCCGTCAAGCTGAGTCCAGAATGTCAATAACAGCCTCCACTATGTGAATCATTTATTTCAGACATACTGGGTTTATATACCAAACAAACAGACCGCAACGCAGCATAAAATAGGAAATAACATTCATACACAATCAAGCCAAAAAGTGGCTATGAAAGTGGGAGGCAGTAGTCAATAAACTGAACATAGCTTAAGAACAGTAAATCGTACAATAATAATATATAGGTCAAAATAAAGCTTCGAACAAGGGGAATATAGATATACATAATCTAGTTACTGAATATTTATGCCATAAGAATATATAGATAATATTAGTCCATTAATAGGTCTCAGACGTTACTCGTAATGTAATCTTCACTAGGATATAACAAATAGCTCAGTGAACAACATGTTGGAAGTTTGGGGCGCAATCCAATGGGTTCGAGACCTAGTGTAACCATCAACACTGGAATCCAGATGAACCCAGCTAAAGAATCCCGAATAGAACAAAACACACACCCTGAGTTCTAATGTTAGTCACAAACCTATCTGTCCTATATTTAATAGATAATCGTTTATTACATGGTATATGTATTTCTACGACATACAATCTAACTAATTCAATACGACTGATTTTGGGTGGCTTGTGTGACATCCGTATTAACATGCCTACTGTCTGATGATACATAAGTCCCGCACCACACCAAAGTTCAGGACTTCCTCTCAACTGATCACCAAGGTGTAAATCCAGTCAACAGAAGCTTCAGTGTCCTAATGATGGAATCGTCTTAATCTTGGAAGGTTTGTTGTTTCTTAAATCCAATGAGAACTATAGAATCAAGTTTTATCACACTTTAGCGGTTTTCTTTTGTTTACCCAATAGGAGTTTTGAATCTATCCACCACATCCCTCTCTTTATATATATATATATATATATATATATATATATATATATATATATATATATATTCAGTTACATTAGCTTAAAATTCTACAATTCAAGTAGTCAGTCATGCATAACGCTGAACCTGGAACACACACCGATTCAAGCAACCATAACACGCTATCGCAGCGCGATAAAAATATCAGGACAAATCTCATAGAAATAGAATTAGTAATGGTACCTGTGGTAGTAGAAAACACTAAATACAGACAATGTCATTCAACAACAAATGAATTCGTTTTATTAAAAAAAAGTTTAAAAATTCAAGATTTAAACGAAAACAAAGAGTGAATGCTTCTGAGTTTTTGCGACCAATTCTGAATTATGCCACACGACGTCTCCAGCCATTGGTAATGATAATCGTACAGATTACAAACAGGTAGTCTACATCTGCTAATAAGGCTCAGTCCAATAGTCACTGACTTCATGGAACAAAGTAACACATTGGTTTAATCATCCCTAGCTTCCTGGAAACTTATTCCTACCCAAATCAACACCCCTCATCTAAACAGATGGTAGTTTAGCACACTTAATGCATCTTACAATCACCACAGCCCACAAAGACTCACTACCTCATTTTTACCTAGTAATGTGTATCCAGCCTCAACATTACTCAATTTGCGTTTCCAACAGACACGAGCAATCTTTTGAAGGCATCTATAATCAAATACCAACAGCTTACACCCATAAAGTAAAACAGAGCGAATTACTGCTCAGTATATTCATCTTTCGGTTGAAAGATGAATTAGTATCTAGTCAATGTTACAGGTGCCGCAAATTGGCAAAACTCAATCAGATTTTCTGAACCCATACTACAATTAATTTTTTAAAGCGTTATTTAGACAAAGAAAAATGAAATAAATAGAAAGCATCATGGTAAATGGGCACAAAATATTTCAAATTCATTTGTTTCTATTAGCAAAAAGGAGTAATAATGAAAAAAGGAATTTGATCTAGTTTTAACGTCCTTCAAAAGCCCAAGACGAAACTTCTTCAATTCTCATCAAAACAAATATTAGACATTACTGTGTAGTACGGTTGTCCCTTAAAAAATATACAGATATCTATTGGTCACCATAAGAGCTTTAATACAGTAAATGCTAAATTGAAAATTTCCTCACTAGAATACTATCAGTCATCAGACATCATTTCAATACAAAAAGTACATTCTAATTGAGAATATTTGAACCTCTTCAATAATCTACGACTAATTGATAAAACTGGACAATTTATTGTTATTAACGTAAAATGCTGAATATTACTGATTAATTGAGATCACGAAAAGATCTAAGTTAGATAACTACCGAAAACCTGAAAGCTATCTTGTTTTAACTTGAGGATCCTCAGCAATGAGCATCCACGACCACGCAAGCAGAAATCTAATTCAGGACATTCGGATTCACGAACGAACCATAAGTCTCTTGACCACTGGGTCGGCATCCAATGTTTTACATGTGTAACTTCAATCAATCCAAAATATTACTTAACTGGTTAAGCGTTCGTGCGTGAAACCAAAGGTTCTAGGTTTAGTTCCCGTCTACACTACCGTGGATTCTCACTGCTGAGAAATTTCAAACTGGGGTGAATCTGCCACCCAGTGATTCTAGGTTTTCAATGGTTGTCAAACTTAAATAGGTCTGTGGTTTCAGTGAAATCCAATAATTTCTACAACCCATTGCTGCTGAAACTATAAGTTTTTTAATGTTAACTATGGTAAGAACAAGATAATGTTAATCGTCACATCTTTTGATGAAGAAGTTGCAATAGTGAACAAGAACTAAAATTATTCGGTCTTGATTTCAGTTGGTTTATATATGACCTATAAAGATTATTACCATATAGTTGCTCACGTTTCAAATGTCTTTCAACTGCGTTGTGGTTTATATTTTCAGTAGTATGTGATATTCGGTCAAGAACAAAGGCAAGCAAATCCCTGAGATTCAAGACCGGAGGAACAAATGAATAGAACTGTAGCGTCACATGCCATGCCAAGCTCACATAGCTTATTCTAACTTTCGGACAGGTCAATTTATTAA